AGATGTACAATCTGATCATTAGCAATTAGGGAAATCTCAGGAGTTAGGTGATCATCCTTATATTGTAGTGTTTGTCTTGCATCATTGATAATTGATTTTCTATACTGGTTATTTCTCACTACATATTTTCTCTCTCGAATTAATTTTTTTGCTGCTCCAATCATCTTCTCTTTTAGTGTGCTGGTGTGCTAAGGTGCTGGTGACTGGAGATTGGGTGGGTGATCAGTGTTGGCATGAATGCAAACTTAGAGAACTTAAGGTCTCATTCTACTATTCATCTCTCTCTCTCCCTCCATCCCTCTCTATGTGTAGCGGATTATTTTTCTTGTGGCACTACAATTATTTATGTGTGGGTGGAAAGCTGACTGCTTTGACACTATCTGAACCATGCATATATGAAAGTAACTTTATTTTTTTCCTAAAGTGTGAATTCTAATATTTAGGTAGGTACGTTCCGTGGGTAAGGATTGTAGTTGGATGTACAATGAGCGGAAAGGTAGCTTGTTTAGTCCAGTTTGGAAAGCTGGTTTGGACACCTTTCTGGACCATGCCTTTTCATTACCTGAAGCTGCTAAAGATGGGAGATCTAAGTGTCCATGTACTAAGTGTGATCGCGCCACAAGCGGAAATGGGATGAAATGGAGATGCATTTATGCCGCAATGGTTTCCAGTTGGGGTATGAGAGATGGACTAGGCATGGGGAGTCTGATGTAAATGATCAAGCATACAATGAATATGTAGGTAGCTCAGATAGGATGAGTGAAATGCTATTGGAGCCGAAGGTGTCCGTCAGAGTGAGGAGCCAACTCAAGCAGCAAAGGAGTTATATGAGTTGCTAGAGGAAGTAGATAAACCACTGCATGACAAGACGTCTCACTCCCGCCTATCCGTTGTAGCACGACTTATGACCATAAAAACACAATATAATCTTTCTGAAGTCGGTTACAATGAAATAATGAATCTTTTACATGAAGTTATTGGAGATGAGGCTGCCAAGGATGTCCCTAAAAACTTTTATAGGTCTAAGAAGTTTGTGCATAGCCTAGGAATGCCTTATGTGAAGATTGATGCATGCCCAATGGATGCATGATATATTACAAAACTAACAAAGATAAAGAAAGTCGCTTATTTATCTGTGGTGAATCTCGGTATGAGGAGCCAACTAGAGGAAAGAAATCTAGGAAAGTACCAAAAAAAGTTTTGCGTTACCTTCCAATTACTCAAAGGCTACAATGCCTGTACATGTCATAGAACACGGCAAAGCACATGGGATATCATGCACAACCCCGCAACAATGATAATGTTATGGCTCACCTTTTGGATGGAGAAGCTTGGTTGGAACTTAACAAGTTGTATCCAAATTATGCCAAAGAGGTTAGGAACGTGCGTCTTGGTTTGGTAACTGATGGTTTTACACCTTTTAGTGCTCATGCTGCCCCATACTCTTGTTGGCCTGTCTTTGTTGTTCCGTATAACCTCCCTCCTGAAATGTGCACTAGAAAAAGCAACATCATCCTTGCACTCGTTATTCCTGGTCGTGAACACCCGGGGAAGAACTTCAACGTATACATGGAACCACTAGTTGATGAGCTCTTGGATTTATGGGAAAAAGGTTATCTTACTTACGACTGTTATAGAAAGGAAAACTTCACCATGAAGGCAATTGTGTTGTGGACCATTCATGATTTTCCTGGATATGGCTTAGTAGAGTGCTGGAGCACACATAGAAAGCTAGCTTGTCCAATTTGTGGGTCTAACATTAAGACATTTAATTTGAAGCATGGGCACAAACCTTGCTGGTTTGATTGTCATAGGAGATTTCTTCCAGCTAGCCATGCATTCCGCAAAAGTGTGAAGTGTTTTCGAAAGAAAACTAGAATTACATATCCTCCACCAAAGCACCTAACTGGTGCTGAGATATTGGAACAGTTAAATAATCTAACTCTTGATAGCAAAGGTAACAATAAATATAAAGGGTTTGGGAAGTCGCACAATTGGACAGATATTAGTTGTTTGTGGTGATTGCCATACTAGAAAAAGTTGCTTCTCCGACATAACATAGATCTCATGCACAATGAGAAAAATGTTGCAGAGGCACTATTAGGCACAACTCTAGATATCTCAGATAAAACTAAGGACAATATTAAAGCACGTCTTGACATGGCTATGCTTTGTGATCGCCCAACTTTTGATTTGATTAAGAAGCCCAATGGCACATGGACAAAACCGAGGGGAAAATATTGTGTTAGTAAGGATGATAGATTGGTTATCTTCAAGTGGTTCAAGCAACTAAAGTTCCCGGATCGCTTTCTTTGCTAATTTAAGTAAATCTGTAAAGTTGGATAAGCAGAAATTTATTGGTATAAAAAGCCATGACTTACACATAATCATCGGCGCCTCTTGCCGGTTGCACTTAGGGGTTTCATCCACGAGAAGGAATGGAAGGATGTATCGAACTATGTTTTTTTATCGACAAATATGTGCCAAAGAAATTGATCGAGAGAGAATGCGTGAACTTGAGAAGGAGATTCCAGTTCTTCTATGCAAGCTAGAGAAAATGTTCCCACTAGGGTTCTTTAATGTAATGCAACATCTAATTGTGCATCTTCCATATGAGGCAAGGGTTGGCGGACCTATGGCATTTCGCTGGATGTACCAACATGAGAGGTAATTATTAATTTTTCTAAATAAGTTAGTTCAGCTCGATTCAAATTTTTTTGTTATTATATCACTAAACATTGTAGTAATATTTTGCTAGGTACATGCATGACCTAGGCCTGAAAGTGTAGAACAAAGCTAGAGTTGAGGGTTCTATTGTAGAGGCTGAGATTGTGAAAGAGATAACTGACTTTTTTCTGGATATTTTGCTGACCATGTTCATACTAGATGGAAAAAGGTTTATAGATACAACAGTAGGGGAACACACGTGAAGAATGATGGCTACACTTTAGATGTTTTCCAATATCAAGTCACCCTTCATGGTCGGGGCGTGCCTCGTGACCTCTCAGAACAAGAATTGAATGCAGCGAGGCTGTATATTTTGACCAATTGCTCTGTTGTTGATCGTTATCAAGAGTAAGTGATGCAAATAACAATTTTTAACTGTTCTAGCAGAGGTTCTATAACTTGTATATATTTGTAGGGCATTTATGGAACAGAAGCGTGCTAATAACCCTAGGTTGTCAGTTGAGGTCCTTGACAAAATGATGATAGATGAATTTGTGGATTGGTTTAAGAAAACTGTAAGGACATATTACCTTAGCCGTATTTCATGAACACATGTATATATATATTCTAACAAACTTATTTATTTTTATAGTGTAGAAAGGATACCGATGCAGATGAAGACTTGTGGAATTTAGCCAATGGATGCAAATCTAGAGTACTATCATATAGCTCGTATGATGTTAATGGCTATAGGTTCAGGTCAGAGCGATATGAAAACTCCCGTGCAAAGCTGACCACAGTGAACATAGGGGTTTGTTTGACATCATTCACCTCAGATGATCAACAACTTGACTATTATGGTGTAGTCGAGGACATTATCAAACTTTCTTTTAATGCTGGTAGAAAAATTGAAATGGTTCTCTTACAGTGCCACTAGTTTGATCCAATTTCTGGTCTTAGATCTGAACCAAAATTAGGTTTGGTGGACGTCAAGCCATCTTCAATGCTGGTGAATTTTGAACCCTTTGCCATGGCTCACCAAGCCACACTACTATACTACTTGCAGTACCCATCTCTAAGGCATGATTTGTGTGATTGGTCTGTTGTTTACAAGATCCAACCAAGGACCTTAACCAACCTTGACACAGTAGATGCACATGAGCCACCTGTTACAGATGTATTTTTCCAAGAAGATGAGCTGCAGGGAAGCTTCTCCATTGATGTTGATGGCTTGTTTGATGATGTAACTGTGTCTTCAGAGGCCTTGGATGATGTCCTTGATCCCCAAGATATTGAAACTATAGAAAAGCAAAACAACGCTGAGGATCCATTGGATGACATTTCTTATCATGGGAGTAGTAGTGACGAAGAGCAACAAATAGTTGAAGAAAATAGCGACTTGGAAGACATTGACGAGGATGAGGAAACCACAGATAATTCCTTAGAATTTGATTATGATGATTATTGAATCCTAATTTTTAATATGTACATTAGTATCTTATTATTTAGTTTTCATATTGAACTAGAAATATGTCTTCCCAATCTGAAATATGGTGCATCCTTGTTTGACTGATGATTTACTTCACTTATTTTACTTGTGTATCCCATAATTTTATTGGTGCCTACTCATTCTGTTTAATAAACATTTTATGCAACATACTTATTGCCATGTATGAAGCAGAGCACAGACCTGTGTCATCATCAAGGTCAGTGCGTTCCACATCAGCTACTGCAAGAGAAAATAATGGATTGGCTTCAGCAAGTCAGCAAGCTATTGAGAAAAAAAAATACTCGATCAAGGACTGATAGCGGTGAAAGACTTCCAGAAAGAGAAAGACCCACGATCAAGGCTATTGGAGAGTAAGTAACATTGTAGCTGCTTTAATTTGTATATTTATGTGTCCATATTATATCTATCGCTTGTGTATTAACATAGACTATTGTCTCAGTATTTTGTGTTCAAGTGTTCATTGTTCAGATTAATTTTTAGCAAGTACAGTTTGTCCATGATAGAGAACATTGTCATGTCATTAGTGCACTAGCTTGCTTGTAGATAGTTGGATGCACCAGCATATTTATTTAAAGAGCTTGCAAAGACTAAATAAAGAATGTTGTATTTTTAACTTTCCACATTTCTGTAAGGTAGGAGTTTTCAGTACTGACCGGTTCCATGATGTTTTGCTTACTTTAACATTTCACTTATGTATTTTATATCTTTTATCCCTATATGATGATGTCGTTTGATTTAATATAAAATTATCAGGCACTGGGAAGTGCATCCATGTCAAAGTTCTCGCAAACCCCCAACAGTAATTGGCACTCTAGTTCGCGAGATGTATCCTGATTTTTTTGATACAATAAATGGGATGAAGCCAGTGCTAACATGGGAAGATTTCAAGAAGACTACCATAGCTGGGGTATCAACTGATAAGAGAGTATTGGAAGAGCTCTGGGTATGTGCTACATGTGCATAATAACTACAACTTACTAACTAGCTTTGCTATTGTTTAAAAGTTATCTCAACTGCAACTTACTATAAATAATATGGCAGTGACGTTTCAAGTGTCTTCCAGAAGATAGAGCTGAGGCAGATGCTGTCTTGGAGTTAAAATTTAAAAACATGTTGCCTAAGATGTTGAGTGAAGAGAAGCGGGCTATCACAAAGAAACTATATAAGGATGGTAATGTGCCCCCAGAAGATGTAGATGAATATGAAAATTGTTGGCCAACAAAAGAAGCACTTATATCTGTTAAACCAAGAGACTTTACAACCAATGAAGGTTGGGCTTTGCTATGTGAGCACTGGAGTACAGCAAAATCGCCTAGCTGGAGATAATAACGTATACCATCGCAGTAGCTCAAGAAGCTTACCAGCAACACGCCAATGGCTGGTAAGAACCCAAACCAAAAAGTTGTGACTTCATAAACTACTGATGTACAATGTTCAGTACATGTCAAAGCATACTTACACTTTAATTGCAGGCACTAAAAACTGGCGTTGACCCTGGAATTGATGGCGCTTGGCTGCATAATCATGAATTGAATCCAGGGACAAATGATGGTAGGTTGTGCAACCAGAATGCTGCTGATAAATGGGTAAGTGTTGGATTATTTAGCTGATAGCTCTTGTAGTTGTCTTGTTACTGATCCTCAGCTTTTCTATGTTTTTTTTGGAAAAGGCACAATATGAGGAAGGAATGGAAAAAAGTATGGCATGAATTGGAAAATTGAGCATCCTGAATTAGATGCAAGTGTCATTTATGAGTGTGCAGGTAGAATGCCACATGGTAAGCTAGGAATTGGTGATGGAGCAATTAGTATTGCTGAGAAGGAAGCAATCAAGACAAGGAAAAGAAGTGCACAACCATATGTTTCTGCTAAAGAGAAGCGACTTGAAAGGGAAAATTTCTGCTGTTGCGAAAAGAATATAGCAACCTTGAACATGTTTTATGGGTAATTATTGTTAGAATAAATATATGCGTACAAATAAATACCTATGGCTAACCATTAAGTTTTAACAGGCACTTGTTGCTAAACAAGGAATGGACTTTGATGCATTAGCTCAGGAAACTGCAACTAACTTGGTAAGTTTACCAGCTACCTCACAGAGCACAAATTATTACAATGAACTCAAGTATCACTCTAGTTGATTCAGATTTGAATTTTATTTTTCCCACCTCAATTCATTGCAAAACTGACCTTCAAAGTATAAACTAATATATGCATGACATGCAGCCTACTTCTTAATCTGAGGTTGCATTCGCTAGAGAGCATGAGAAAATTGTTCCGAATGCATCTGATCATGTAAGTATTAAGTGTGTTCCAAATGTATCCGTGCCATACCTGAAATTATTTCAAAATCTATCTTATATATATTCAAGCTGGTTCATATGCTTATAAAAATAATTTTATAACTTCTGTAGGATAACATTGGTGGAGCAGACTATAGTGGTGAGGAAAATATTGGTGGAGTAGACTATAGTGGTCAGGAAAATGAAGATGACATCTATGATTATGATGATGGAGGATACCATTCCCAAGATGATGGCCAAAATTACGAGAACAATGGTGTAGACTTTTCGATGATGATGCTTCCGGTGATGAGAAGAGATTATATGCAACATATGCAGTGTGGCACTTTTAAGTAGTTTTTCTTATGTCTTGTGAACAGCAGAGCAGTATCTTAGTCAAGTATTTTAATTTGAACATTAATTTATGTAATGTTGAAGAATGTTCTTAGAAACTTTCAGAATGTCTAGACCGTACCTTTCAATATTAAAGAGTTGGTTATGAAATGTCATGAATTGTGAATGTTCAACATTTGTAATTGATCTTCCTGGTTACATATATTAATTATTTATGGCTATAAAAAATATCCCAAGCAATATCGGATGATGGATTATAATAAAACAGCTTCATCTCTATATTGCTGATGGTTTAATAGTTTTAGCCGGTGGGAAACCAAAACCTTCACATATATATTCTACCGAGAGTATTTAATTCTAGACGGTTAATAAACACCGTTGCTAATATGTTTCCCTGATGGGTTAAAAAACTGTCATGCAACAAATCCCTGACCGGATATGTTTCCCGATGGGATTAAAAAACTATCAAGCAACAAATCCCCGACTGGATATGTTTCCCGATGGGTTTAAAAAAACTGTCAAGCAACAAATCCCCGACCGGGAAACCCTCGGCAATTCATGTCGGACCAAAGGCCGAATGACGTGTTTACCAACTAATTGCCGAGCGTCAACCATCAAAAACATACAGTCAGCCATACAATAACTGACTACCGGTCGGTAAAAGTGGGAATGCCCGACAGGAGCTTCCCGACGGTATACGCTCGGCAATTGTACTTCCTGATGGTACAAATTAAACCGTCGGCCATTCTTGTGCCTCTAGTAGTGCATGCGAGAGACATACTCTTGCATTCGTTCCCAAGCTTCGGGAATCGACTCATCTGCTAGTTGTTGAAAATTAGAGATCTTATTGCGAAGAGCATTAGTCTTTCCCATAGGGAAGAACTTGACTAGGAAAGCATTGGAACACTTGTCCTAGGTATCTACAGCGTTGCAGTTAGAATAAAACCATTGCTTAGCCTTTCCTAACAAAGAGAAGGGGAAAAGGCAAAGACGTATAGCCTCTTGGGTCACTCCCTTAATGGTGAATGTGCTACAAATCTCCAAAAAGTGTTGGAGGTGAGCATTCGCATCCTCATGGGCTTTCCCACAAAATGGACTAGCTTGAACCATCGTAATTAACGCTAGCTTAAACTCAAAGTTAGCGTCCCCATTGATAACATTGGGTCCGGTGGCTACATTAGCAAGCGAGGGTATTGAAAAAATACGAATGGACTTATCGCCCATGGTCGTGTTGGGTAGTGATATGATATGAGGGAAAAAGGATATGAGACAAAGCTAACACAAAAAATAAATTTGATGCCAGTTGCCTTTCCCAGCAACGGTGCTAGAAATGCTTGTTGATACTTCTTAATGACTAGTGGAGGGATTCCGCAAGCGCACAGAACTATCGCGTTGCACTTCATTTGGTGAGTATTGAGTGTTGAATTTATATTTTCCCATAGGAAGGTGGTAGGCTAAATTTATATTTATAGTTAGGATTGCTAAGGAAAAGCCTAAGTGTATCCTTAGTGGTCAAACAATAATTGTGGTTGAGTGAACTACTGTAACACCCCTGGTGTTAAGAATCACTAAAACTTGAGCATGTCATCATTATGCATATAATCATCTACAGTAGCTCATCATGCCTTGCATTTACTAAAATCAATATTTATTTACTAGTAATGCAATGCATTTGTGATGGTTTGTGCTTAAACTCAAAAATTCTTTTAAGATACTTTGTGGCCTTCTATTTTAGAATTTCACTGAAATACTTGAAATTATGCCCTAATAAACTTTGAGGTGTAAAGTATGTGCTTTGCACTAGTGTCAAGTGTGGGGAATAAATTCAAGTACAAACCATTAAAATTTGAATCCAAACTTGAATTTCAGCACTTAATCAAATTTGGCTAAGTACTGGATTTCAGCTTTTGATTCAATTTTGAGGCATTTATTAAAATGAATTTCCTGAATAAACTTGTTCAAACAATAGCATAATTTTGAAGTATGAAGTTCGTACTTTACAATGGTGTTAATGGTTGATTTGTTTGCTCGCTAATTAATCACCAATTGATTCACCAAAGTGGCTAACTTAACTATTTTCCAAAACCCTAACTATTGAAACTGAAGGTTTAGGGTTTTAGTTTCATCTTGCCTTTGTTCTTGATCCTTGATCTTCTAATCTAGTTAGAATTAGATGGTCATGCTTAAAGCAAAGTTGGAGATCAAAGTATCATGTACAACTTTTGTTCTTGGAGAATTTCATGATGCCACATGAAATCAAGAGAAAATGGGAGAAGAAGGGGTTGTTTCAGTCGCTATAGTGCTCGCCAGTGACCTGCTTGCTTGCCGCAGTAAGTTCCCAAGCAGCTACTGGATGCCATGAAGCTTCGCCCGCGTCCTTAAAACGCCAAGCCAGCAGTCGAGCTCATCTTGTTCTCTTTCCATCACCGTTGTTGAGCTCTAGTTCATCGGTGATTGATCCACCTTTGCTCTACCCTCATCCAATTGTCCTTGCAGCTAGCTTCGGCACATCCTTGTGCACCTTTTGAGCCAACTCATGTTAGCTCTACCGCCAGAGCTCTACCGCTAGAGCTGAACCGTAGCGCCACCGTGAGCCCCCTCACCATGGGCAGCCCTCTGTGGCGCATTCCTTTCTCGTCCATCTCAAGTTTTAGTTTCCCCTTGTTGCTCTGTTGCTCAACATCCTGATGGTTTTCATAGCCGAAGTCTCGATGAGCCGGAACACCACCGTGTCCATGAACCGCACCACCGCCTTCGTCCCCAACACCGACAACCTAGCTCTGATGCATCCTCGTTTTGACCAGCAGCCATTCTAAAGTCGCGGTGAGCCCCTAATGCTAACACTGTTGCCTATTTTACCTCTACCAAGCCCTTATGGCCGGAGCACCGTCGCGCCGACGTGCTTTGCTTTTCTAAGCCGCCGTGGCCGCGGTCGCGTGCGTAGCAAGGTCGCTCGCGCTCAATAGACCCCTTGAGCATGTGTGCAAGAGTGAGTTGAGTTTACCGGTGACCTTCGTGTCATTGGAGAGCCCATAGTTGGGCATAGCCGGGTTGTTGGAGCTCCGCCGTGCCGCCATGGCTGCCGGCATGCATGTTGCCATGCCTTAGATAGTCAACCGTCACTATCCGTGAGTTCACGAGATCGAGAGGGATATGTAGGAGTAGCTTGCATCTCTAGAGTTACCACCATTGATTGTTGCCACTATGCTAGAGTGATCGAGCCACCAGAGCTGCCATCGTGGTCACTGTCGTGGTCCATTTGATCAACCGTCACCACCAGTGTATGCGAGAGAGAGTCCCGAGTTTATCGTGATATGTCTCGTCGCCGGCGAGCTTGCCATCGACGAGTACCTATCGGTCAATGGCCTGCCTACGCCATGGTCAGCACAGTGGTACTATGTGCTTACCCAAGGGCCCCGTTGTTAGTGAGAGAGGGTGAGGGAGAGTTGAGTGATCCTTTTTGTTTTTTAGAAAATACTAATTAAGTGCTAAACTTGTTTAATTCATAATAAATTGTAGAAGCATGATTAAATTGTGAAAATTTCTATGTAGCCTTGTTATCATGTACTCTACTTAGGAAAAATATGAGTTAAGCATTTTTAGTACTTATGCTATGCTTAAAATATACCTCTTTTAATTAATAAATGTACCTTCCATGATTTTTATAGTGTAAAATAATAATCCATAAATCATGGAACTTGTTGTGTATACTTGACATGCTTATACCTACCTTCAAAAAAAGTTTGGTACTATTTTGATAAAATTTTAATTAGTTACTTAATCCCATACTTTATTTATTAATTAATAAATACCAAAATGTTTAGGATAAATCTTAAAATGATTTGAGTGTGCTTTGGAATTGATTACAGACCTTGGGACACAACATCTTTGCTATTCCATGGCAACCATTATCATGATTCTCTGCTCATAATTGAACTTGCTAATAATAAATACTAATATTGTTTGGTGAGTAATTAACCTAACTAAAATTGTGAAGGAAAGTTGTACTCAAGTAGTTAAATTTTGTTTAATCATCTTAATCCATGTTGCACCTCTCATATGTATGTTAGTGTACCATCATCCTAAAGCATGCATCTTTATTTATGTATAGTGAACGAGAATGGTGACCCATTAGTTGAGCAAGTTCCTGAGGTGGGTTTTCACTCAGAGGAGGTGGGGGTTAATATCTGTGGAACATCCGAAGAGTTCGACAACCCGAACACCGCAGGCAAGCCCCGTAGCATAATCTGTTTCCTTGTGTTTTATAAATGTTATTCACATAAGTCTTATGTTTGTTGCATCAAGTAAAATAGGGTTTGGTTGAATACCAACTGTTGCATGCCTGCCTTGATAATTTGAATACCATTCCTTGTTACCCTTGTATTATGGTAGGTTAGCCATGCTTAGCCTTGCTTAGTTGATAAGAGTCAAGTGGTGATTTCATCATTCGTAATGGTTCCATACCCAGGTGTCGTCCTGAGAGTTTGTCAATAAATATACTTTAACTAGAGACCGGATGGGACATGGGTTATATCTCTGGTGGTTAAGTCAATAGGGTTGCCTATCGTACTTGTCCCATCTATGTCGATTGAGGACCATACCATTGTAGGCCACCGTGTGGTTGGGACTTTGTAGTACTGGCCATATACTCCGATAAGCCTAATACCTCGAATATTCCATTATGTGAAAGACAATTGCGCACTGGGCGTGGGAGGTGGTTAGAGCAGCATGTACACATCTTGTGGATCCACTAGGAGTGGCACTGTAACACCCCGGGCGTTAGTCACAAGTTAAGCAGTGGATTTGGACTTAAGTAGGATATATCAAGCAATGATTATGATCTGTAGTTCATAATCTAGGAGTAATGATGAAGATATTGAGGTCAAACCTATGAAAAGGAGCCCCAACTTGAACTTAGACAATACACTTTGCTTACATGTTGACCCTTTTCAAATGTAGGCTTGAGTAGTGTTCAACATGCCTCTTCCATGATCATCACCTTA